CAGTCTGAGCAGGAGGGACACCAGAACCAAGCTGGCTTGGATCTGACTTCAGCACTGCAGAACCTGAGGAAGGTAGCATGGGCTTGAGTTGAACTGGCACTTCTGACTTCACTAGGCAAAATGAAAGCTTGCCAAAGTGGCTACATGGAAAACCATTCCAGGCTGCAGAACTTCTCGAGACTCTTCTTTGAGAAAGAGACATTTTGTTCAGAAAACAGGCCTGTAAATGGGGTATTCCCATTGATGAACTTCACGTATCTAACAGAGCTACCTCAACTGTGAGGGCCAGACTTTGACTCTATACTTGATGAAGACAGACGATCTCAATGAAGATTGACACAGAGCATGATTCAGAGCAGCAATCTAGCTTACATGCTCTGAATCACACTTTCAAAAAAGCTACCATCTTTCTCCCATGATTGAGCTGTGAACTTATTTTTCAAGAATCTGGGGGAGTTCCAGTAAGGCAATAGGCAGATTGTCTTCTCTAGAAAGCTTTGTTCAATTTATGCTGAAAAACATAACCATATTTTTACTCTGTAATTTTGGCAGACAAACAAACAAACAAACAAACTCTCCTTGGGTTTCAAAGGTGCATAAAAGTGCTTTGAAAGGCAAGTTGTCTGATATAGAGCGTCTCATGAAAAAAACAATATGACAAGCAAACTTACTCAAACTAATTTAAATATCATATCATATAACAAACATCATCAGAAAAGTAAGTTAGATCTACTTAACTTCAGAGCTTGGTTTGAATGAGAATCTTGCAATCATGATTCTTTTACCATCTCTGCACGAGGTTTTATGAGAGAGCTTTTAACAGTAGCACTACTACTATATCTTCAGAAGACAAACAGAAAATAAATGTCTCCAATTTTTATTTCCAGAATTTGGTGCAATCAAACTGAGACTATTTAAGCAGCTAGTATCTGAATTGCAAATTTATAAAAGTTTCAACACAGTCCTCCGTTAGAAAGGAAATTGGGTAACACCTTACATTAGCTGATGCAGTAGCTACTAAATAAGGTAGCTTTGTGCTTCTGTCTTTCCCCTCCACACACTCTGTTGTATCATCTGCAATTTTTTCGTCTCCTCTTCTGCTGAAAAGGAGCTGTGGGCCTGTGCAACGGGGCAGACAAAGAGCAAGGAAACTTAAAAGACTTTAAGACTCAACAGATCTGCAGTTAACGCCCCTGGTGACTAAAATTTTGGTGCTGCTCCACATCAGTCCCATGCCAGCCATAGCTGACAGGAAGTTTCCAGGAATGTGACTATCTACAGAATCCATAAAAACAAGGCTCACCATCGGTTAGCAGCTCCCCACCTATTCCTCTGGGGAGAATAATTACTCTTAGCCAAAGCCATTTATTGGGAATACAATCAAACCTACAAAATGCAGCCTATGCTATTTGGATTTTGTCTATTTACAGGAGCTACTTTATTCCACTCAGCTGTTTCTACTGCTTAGGCCCATTGGAAACAGTCATTTCCCTCTTTATTCCCAAACACTGATGCTTACATTAATGCAGTTCAGCAAATCATGGCTTCAAATAGACAGCAACAACTCAAAAGAATCCCCACAAAGATGTACGATCAAAGCTTGTGACTTCTATTCCACATCGGAAATCATGGGCTTTCTACCCACTTTTGCCAATCTTTTTCTACACATACGGCATCCTTGGTGTGCAGCTGCAATGACCTGTAACTGTGAAAGGCACCATTGTTTGCTTGTTAGTAATCCATGATTAATATCTGCCGTTAGTTTTTACCACACTTTTTTCTTAGAAATAACAGAACATAAATAATAACAATCAAACAAAACCCTCAGAGGAGCATTTCCTGAGTGCTGTGTGCAACTGTAGGTACAACAAGCCTCAGCTCACCTCAAGGCTGCAAAAAGTTAACGCTCCTCAGAAACACCTGACAGAAAAATTTCGTCTTTGGGCAAGAAAATCTTCAGAGGGAGAAATTAAAACCTCTCCATGGGGGAATTTTCAGCAAATTAGGAGAAGCAGAGTTAGGCAATTGTTTCAGTAAGTATAGTTGTGAAATAATCCCTTTATGCTAAAACCGTACCTACTGCAGTTTTATATCAAGTATATTTTTCAAAGTTTAAGACCAAATACCAGCAATGTTCAAGGCATCCCAGTTAAAGCCGGAGCCGTGTGTGTCCCCGTTTCGCCCCCTCCGGCGGCTGGCAGCGTCCCCACACCGCTGGCTGAGGACAATCTTGCACCCGGGGCCGACAAAACCTCCCACGGGAGGAAGGTGTCGGGCAGCTACAGGCCTCACCGTGGGGGAGCTGTCAGCAAATTATTAGGAGCTGTCAGCAAATTAGGAGACCGCGGGCATCAGCACGGTTTCCCTCTTGCCCTTTTCTGCTGTATTTCGGCCCAGCGGCCTGGCCCGGCCCACCCGCACCCCCTCACCTGTCTTCGCCTCCTCCTCCACAGTTTACCTCACCTTACCCTTTCCCGCCAACCAGAGGTGACCGACACGACGTATTGCTGTGACGGCAGCCCCCCCGCGCTGCGAGAAGGACGTCTTCAAACGTTTTAAGACTCTTCTGGATGCAAAGACCACGGCGAATTTGGCAGGATCTCCAGCCTGAGCCTACGGCAGGCAGGCAGAAGGCAGAGCGGGCGTGTCTGGGGGCTGCTGCTCTCCCCAGCAGGACAGAGGACGCAGCACAAAGCAGGAGAACTGCACTCTTCATTGTTTCGCTTGGTTGGTATCCTTCCCAAATCCCATCCTTCAAAACAACTGATCCCATCCATGCTCTTTAAGCTAGGGAAGAGGTGGAGTGCTAAATCCCCTGGATATCGGAGGGGAGGCGGAAAAACAAAGTCCAGGCAGCGAGAAGACACAGACCCAGCCTGGAGCCAAGGAGGAGCGAAAGAGCTTAACAACGCTCTTTCGGCATAACATCCTCGGCAAGAGGATGGCAAACAGGAGGGACAGTGATTTTGGATCAGATGAGAGAGACAGCACTGTGAAGGGGGATGTAAAGGCAAAGGGATAAGGAGTTCAAAGGCAGGTCTATAGCAAGCAACTGGGAAGGAAACTGGTGCAAGAAACTGGCGAGGAAGAAAGTGAGCCAAAGCCAGAGGGGGGCAATAGAAGACATACTTGTCACTTTTGGAAAACATTACCCTCTGAACTTGTATGGTTCCAGACACTCCCCATTCCTCTGCTGCCACCAAGTACCTACCCCAAAAACGCATGTCGTGCCTTCTTCCGTTAGCAAGTCTACAGAGAAGATGAGACCTCCTGCATTTCCCACAGCAGAAATTTCTGTAATGGAATTACATTTTTCAATTCTTCTGCTGAATTATGATGCCAGAGGCTATGATTTCTGCTTTTATCTCAACTTGCTTTTCAAAAGCTCTTTAAATCACAAAAAAGGACAATATTAATGCAAAACAACCCCCAACATCCCTGCAAAACACTCTTTATTCCAGTCAAAGGTTCAAAATTCAAGTAAACCAGGTTTCTTGTGTCACCATACTTCTGCATCCTGATACAGGGTTAATGTTTAGACTGGATAATTATATGCCACATTTACACCAGATGTTATCCTTATTCAGTAGGAGGTTGCGGGTGGGGCAAAACAGACCAGCTAAGACAGAATCAGAAGCCACCTGAGAATTTTCCAGAACTGATATCAAAAAGTCACACCAACTCGCAAAAGCCTCCACATTTTCATCAGAACTCATTTTCACAATGGAAACAATAACATATTCTTTCAATTTTATGGCTTCACATCTACACCATTTTGAACATTTTGAATGTTTATACAAAGAGCATCACATTCCTTCTTTCCCCTTTTTGTGCATTTACAGTAAAGCAGAATTAATAAAGCAAGTGGAAGTCTTAGTAACAGAAGACTTCTTTTTGTAACTGACTTTCAAAATGGAGAGAAATTTTCTCCTTTCAAAAAAGGAGAAAATCATCCTCTTTAACTTTTCCTGTTATTGTATATTGAACAGATGCAAATATGCAACCACACAGAAACATTTATTCTCCCAAAATTAGCATTATTACTTTATTTGGTGATTCATTACAATCTGCAAATCCAATAGTCAAAAAAATAAACTAGGCATAATGTTAAAGCATTTTACAAGCAAAATACTGTTTCCTTTTCAATTTGCATAGGGTGGGATAAGTGTATTGGTTAAAGAATATAACGTACAGAAGAACAAAAACATAGTTCATCAAACTGTACTGAAGAGTGTTATGGTCCTGTGAGGGAACAGTACTTAAACAGCTATAACCGTTAATGGAAAACCATACACTTCAACATTAACAAGGCTGCCTTCCCATGACCATGATGCATCGTGAAGGCTGCAGGCCACTGGGCTTCTTTTCTTACATTGTAGATCATCCTACTTTAAAGAAATTAAATAGTTAAACAAGCCAGAATGCCTCTATCTATGCTCATTTCTCTCCTACCAGAACAAAGGGCAGAATGGAGAGAGGGAATTTTTAGTCAGCTTCTGAAACCACTTACAGTAATGTCTGTCTCTCATATTTTCAGTGTCATAGAGCTAGCAAGCTTAGAGCTTCATCCACACATCTCTGTTTATTATTACTGTGCATCCAGGTAAAAAACTATTTTTTCACTGCAAAGAGATCATACTCTTTTCCCATTGTAACCACATGTCTGTTCCTCCAACTGTATAAGTCTGGCTTTAAAGTCTCACAAAACTAAAAAATAGTTGATCTAGGCTGTAATAAAAAAAGAATATTAAATACCTTTGGTAAAAATAGATATATTTAACAAGTTTAGAAAAGCAAATAGTTATATTGTCAAAAGGAGAGTATAAAAATGTACACGATAAAAAATAACAAACAAAAAAATCATCAGCCATAGTAGTAAGAATAAAGGCGCCATTCTTTTCAATGTTTGCTTCCTTAGCTCATGTTATTGTCCAGTCTTCTGTCTAAAAGGCAGGAGCTTTACTACAGCATATGGAAAAATCCAGTCCCTCCTACTAGCATTAGACCATTTAAGTTGAATTCGGAACAAGACAGTCTGTTTTAACCCAAGTTTATACAACAGAGAACGCTTCGATTTAGAGTACACAGGAGTAGTTGAACACAGAAAGAAAGATTTCAGGTGTTTTCAACCAGAGGCCAGATGTACTGGAGCTGTAGAAATAAGACAGCCAGCAGGATCAAGTCTCCATGATGTGAGCCTTCTAACTTTATTTTTACTCCTAAATTATAAATCCATGTATTGTCAAGAAAATTGTGGGGACAAAAACAATACATATATTTTAAATCCCTTATTGATGCCTTTCTCCCATCCTTTCACCAGGCCTCCAAACAGAGCTGTCACACAACATATAATCCCAGTTTGGCTTCTCCTCTTTTTAGAGCTCACTGTAAATCTTGAAGATGGAAGATCCCCAAAGCAAACAACTGAGATTACAGAAGGAGATAATGCACAAGCCCCATAATAGAATCAGCCATTGATTGAGTGTGCTTTGAAAGAAAACAGCACAATTAAATCATGTTTATCCTTCAGTATTCCCTTTGCACACACAGTCACACTCCTCATGGTGTTCCAAGGGTACATCTGTCAATGATTTATGCAATCCCCGGACACCAATCCTTGGCTTCAGCTGAAGAACCTGAAGGAGAAGAAGCCAAGCATCAAAAAAACCCAATAAGTGCTTCATCACACACCTAGACTATGACTTAGATTGCACTGGCAACACATGGGATGACAGGAAGCCTGTTAAAAGAAATAGGCTTTCCTCAGCTGAATTTCTTAATTTATTCCACCCACTAATTATTATTTTGGCTTTTACCTCAAGCCCTTTACAAAATTGATTAAAGCATGTTGAAGAGCTACGTGCTTTTATCAAAGAAGAGAGTCTTGCAGTGTCATGTTTCTTCTTAATTTTATCTAAGGGCTAATGGTAGAGTTAATCCAATGGAATTATTAGATAATTCTGTAATAAATAATTTTAGCTATAGATTTATAACAATGGAAGTGGACAGGTATCTGTTCCTTCATAAAGTTCACATCTGCCACTACAGAAAGCTGAACAAGGAGGTGTGGTTGTGATGTGTCTGAACTGCACCAGTAAACAAATACTTCAGGAATGACTTCATAGTTCCACAGAAAAATATTTTAACAAGGAAGATATTACTTTTTTATGTAACACTTCATTAAAAAATATTTACTGTAAGTGCAATACATAAGATTTTAAAATATTAATATTGGTGCATTCCTATAGTAAAAATAAATTCCTTAATTGGTTTTCAGCATTTCTAAACACGGAAATGTAAAAATGTGCATACCTCATGGTACTTTTTGGTGACTTTTGTTGGTACACATTGGCACTCACTGCAACTCTGATGACAGCAGGCACAGTTTCCACCACAACGTTTAACCAGAAGACACAATGGCCAGAAGATGGTGTCAGTTCGCTTCAGCTCCTCCCTCAGTGACACCGAGAAGTTGCGAGGAGTACAACTATACAGCCGCACCTCCTCCTTTAGGAGGTTGAGATCGACCACTGCAAAAAGACAAACAAACTGGTGCTTTTCTGATTCGTAATCCAACTTCATTGGTGGTAAACCAACTGCAGCGGTGAAGGACCCTTGAGAAAAGTTCATTTTTGTGCAGGTAGTACAGGTTCAGCACACACATATAATACTGCAGTTATATAAATACCATGAAACCTAAATGGAATGATCGTTGTGTAGCAATATTCACCAATCATTTTATAACTCTGGCAGAGTTGATTCAAATTAAATGAAGCAAGCTTTGGCTACTATGTTCCAATAAACGTTTTATCAAATCAACGCTAATGGAGTTTCCTTTGTTCATGCTCATACTCTGAGGTCTAGTGATGCTATTCTATATTAATTTTGTATTGGAGAAACACACACAGCAATTAAGAATCCTGTAAACCTCCAAACACATTTTTAATTCATTTGCATAAAGCATTCAAACTTCTTCCCTGCTAAAATTTCAATTATTGCTTCTTTGCAAGGGCTATGAAAGTGTAAGAAAGAATCAAACCATTTATATCTAAGAGGAATTCACTTCTATGGACTAAGAATTTCCAGAAATTGTGTCATCAGTGAATGCTGTACAGACAACAAATAAATACACAACTATGTGTACCTATGTAACTATTAGTAGGCTCCATTTTTCCCCTCCTCCTTCACAGCAGCATATCTATGAATTTCTATTGCTTCTCTAGCTTTCATTTTCACTTAATATGTCTTAAATAAAATACAGCTCCTCCTTGTAAGCAGTTAACTTGAAGTGCAAGTTAAAGATATTAATATTTGCCATCAGTTTCCCTATAAACTAGTTCCACTGTATCACACTGAAGTTTCACTACGCCAATGGTTGAACAGCAAGCTCATGAAAAGTTCTGAAACAGGGCAAGATGCTTTAGGTTCACCTTAGTTGCATATCCAAGAAATGACAGGCCTTGAAAGATGCAGTTAAGACTGAAAAAAAATGGGACTGATGTACTGAAAAAATCAATACTTTTTATACTTTGGTGAAAAGCAATGTAATTTCCTTTATTTCAGAAAAGCCAGACCATAATGATCATGATCTGGGATCTTTTATCTGAACTGTTTCTCTCCAAACCTACCACCATTAAGGAACAGAAGTCATGTCTAATTCACAGGGGTACTCTATCTGGTAAAAAAAGAAAAAGAAAACCCTATGACAAACAAAGCACCAAAGAGCTTTAAACCAACTGTTTTTGAGCTAAATCAAGAAGAAACTAGGGAAAAAAATACCCCTGTGCATTAATATTACTTGACAAATACTTCATAGTTATTGCTAGCAGTTGGTAAATAACAAGATATAAAATAAAGTTAAAATATGTTCCTGATCTTAATCAACCTGTAGATAAATACCTCCCCCCGCCCCAACTATGTAAAGAGCCTCTAGAGGTCACCAAGAACTTCAGCCTGTCAAGGCAAGATAATACCTCTCAATTCTATCTAAAACACTTAAGTAATAAAGAGAATTTAGAAGCTGCATTTCTCTAGTAGAAATCCTCACTAGTACTGTACCAGCAGCAGATCTTTGGGCAGCAATTTCATTCCACGTTTCTTCAACCATTTCTTCTGCAGACCATATCCATATACTGGCATCCAGAAGTAAGGGTTTATTGTTGCGAAAGGTCAGTTAAACACACTGAATCCTTTTCTCTGCTTGCACTTACAGAGGATGCCAAGCTGGGGCACTTCATTCCATTGCTATCAGGTTAGCATAGGCTCCTAAATAAACAATTTGATTTTTAAAAGCAAGGAGAGTTTAATAACTCCAATGAAAGTTACTGATAGGATGCCAGCCTACCTCCCACACTGCAAGATCATTCCTTGGAGAAAGCTGAGAAGGGAGCAGAGGAGAGGAGAAACAAAACTTCCAGGGGAGACACTCACTGTGAGAAATTAGAAATGATTTAAGCTCTTCTGATCAGCTAATAGCTCTAGGCTGAGTCATTTAGAGGGTGGACATGTCTACCTCCATTAATCAAGGACTGGGTAGGAAAGGAGTACTTTCTCCTGTTATGTTTTCAGATGTATAAGTGAACAGTCTTATGGGTAAAAATGCCTAAAACTCAATGACAGAAATTACCGTTCTGCTAATACTTTCTACTGGTGGGTATCTACAGAGACTGACACGCTTGGTACAGAGAATTTCAAGATGCTAAGCTTATGCATCCTAACACGACTGCTACTCAGCCCTTCAGCATGAGAAACTGAAAACAGAAGTTGGGCACTGATGCCTCTTCCAGCAAGCCCACCGACCAGCAAGAGAGAGGATGCCTGTGTGGCCTTCTGCTTCTCCATTACCTCGGGCCTACTGGCAGCAGCTGAGGAATGCATCCATTTCCTGATACCAGCTGTAGTTGTAACATAGAGGAAAGGGCAATGCACTAAAATGAGCAGCCAGTGTATTACACATTTTGTCAGAGAATTGGAATGAATTTGAACTGAACCCCCTCAGACTTTCAGACCCAAATTTTAAAAAGGTTCTGTGGAAGAACACGCAATCAGCTCCTGGCAGATAGATTTTTAGCGTGCCTTATTGTCAACAGTCTTCAAGGAGAGAAGAAAAATGTCGTGTTTGGTTTCCATGCTTTACAATGTACTAAGGTATATTGCTATTGTACCTCTCAGTGAACCTTTGCCCTACCTTATGTAAGTCAATTTCTTTAAAAGGTCTGTGGCAAATTTATCTAGTGCTTATACAATCACTTCTTTGAAGTGTGTGAATGAAGCTGTTATTTTTTCAAAGAGTATCTGTCTGTCCAAAATTTATTTTAACACACTGTGGGCATGAAGCTAGATGAGAGAATGTATATATTCCCTTAAAAGTGTTTACTTTACTACAATAAAAGGTTATGTGGATTTCCCAAGTGCACTGAGTTACAGTACCTGTTATAATGTGAACATTTAAACACTCCTTCAACTTGGCTTCGACTCATGTATCATGTTTGACACAATAGTCAAAGTTCTTTTGTCTAGCACTAGCTCAGGAGGACTGGAAGGCTCTGCAGTAGCACATGAATAGAAAGCACTAAAATAAAAATAAGGGGAGAAGGAAAAAAGAAGGGAGAAAAATATGTAGATGCAGGTAGGTCTACAGTGAAGCCCATTTCAAAAGCACGCCTTCACTGGCACATACAGCTGAAGCAATCCATGTTCACACCAGCCTGAAAGTAACTGTGTTCTGTAACTGGCAATGCAACTGTCCAGCATCTTCTGGGATGTGTAATTGAATACCACGGGGAACCCTTTTTCCCAAAACATTTTTCCAGCTGGATGCTGATCTCAAATTCAACCCAAAAAAACAAATTCTGATTGAGGCAATTGTGTGTGGGCACAGATAGCAGCAGGATGGTTTTCATTCCTAAGCACCTTGGCGATGTTCCTGGGAGTGTAGTTTCATACTGGCTCCTACAATAGGATAGGGCTGTTACAAAACCCCAAACGATGAGTATAAAAAGAAAAAAAGTCACATAACTATACAAGAAATGTATCTGCTAGGGACTATGGTTGGATTGTGACTCTTCTTAAGCAGACTTCAGAATATGGTCTCATGATTATGCATAAATTTGTGGGAAGCAATGTGCTAATTTTTTTCACAGCAAAATATATTTCATTTTTAAGTATGTTTAATATTATAAAAGAATTTAGGACTGTATTTAGACATCAAAGCCTCTGAACTTGGTGTTTCTTCTTTCCTAGCTAGAAGTTTTTGGAAGCATTTTATCCAGAGAAAACATCAGACACAGAAGTTCTGTGGAATTTAGGTTGTCTAAATATAGTCTTTTTCATATGAATTATTAAGTAGGAGTAGAGGACAACACTCTTCTCTACATAAAGTAACATACACTTTTAATTACATTTTCATTTAATCTAGATGTAAACTGCTGTTTGTCTATGAAAGCAGGACAGCAATTTAGGTTTTACACTGAAATATTGCAAAAATAAAACTGATCTAATTATAGAATCAAAGAGTTTGAATGCACTCCTCCCAAACATTTCTTAAAAAGGTTTTTAAATACAGCAAGCATACTACCAGAAGGAGTAACATTAAAAGAAGACGACAGAAAAAAAAAAAAAAGGTTTGCTTTCCCTATCTATTGAATAGACCTAACAGTTAATACTATGTCATCTCAACTGGACATATTTTCCCCCTCAAGCTATTACATTACATACTCAGTAATGCAGTCTGAGGGTGGTCTCTTAAAGATAAATGTGGCAATACCGCAATATGTTTATTCAGTGGAAAAATCTATTTCAGCATCTAAGCAGAAGTCTTTAAAAGATTTACTCTGATGGTTTCTTTCTAAGATATGTCTTGCAGGAAGTTGCTTTTGTCTATATAGATGTTATCCAACACCTGCATTTTAGTTTATGTAAGGTTTCACAAATTACATTTTGTTTTTCTCCCACTTACTCTATGCTTATGGCATACACTTGGCAAATACTGAATCTCTTTAATTAGGAACGTGTTAAATGACTATCTGAAAGGCACGGTGCATTGCTGAAAGCTCTTAGAGAGATTTCCTCCTCTTTGACTCTTGATTTAGTTGCTGCGTGAATAGCTGTAGCAATGCAGGTAGGGTAGAAGGGTTGATTTTTAGGCTCTGATCCAAGAATTAGCTGTCAAAAACTTAAATTTGAGTTATGAAACGTTTTTCTTCCTCCCTTTTCTTGCTGATCAGATGATAATCTAGCTTATATCTGTCAACTGAGGAATCTATTCAGTTATGCTCATATGTTTTCATTTTCATGCTGTATGCTGGGCAAGGAAGGAGGTATTGCCTGCATGCTATCCATCTTATGGAATCCATAAACATGAAATAGTGGGTAGCAGCTGGATGATATGTGGTAGAAAATTCATGAATGTCAAATGTAGATGGAAGAAAATGACTTGCTGAACGAGAAATAGCTCCACAACTCTTGAAATACATAATCTACTTCACATCTGATTAAGTTGACAAATGCATGATCAAACTGGACATGGACGCAGGGGTTTCATGAGGTATCATGGGAGAGAAACATTTAGGTAATTGCTCTCAATTCATACGGTGTAAAGACCGGAACAATTCTAAGGAAATAAATCAATTGTTCACATGATACAGTACGTGTAAGAAAATACCTAGTCCAAACAAAAAATAAAGTTTTTGCCCTCCATAAAAAACGAAACCCACAAAGTCAGATTATGTCACCCAGCCAAGATGCCCTGCTACTTGGTGGAAATGAAGATCTCCCAGGTTCCCTACAGAGAATTACCCTGTCTGCTTCTATTTTTTTTTTCCCCTTTGTTACTTTTTCCTGCTAAATTCCTTTAAGTTTTGAGTTCAGTTATTGTCCTTTTTCAGATAATACAACGGTGAGAATAGCTAACAACAAGCTAATAACAATAACATATTCCTTTCTTGGAATCAAAATTCAAGGTGAAGAATGCTCTTAATTACTGTTTCTTTGCTAAGAAAACACACCCATAAGAAAGCTGCAAGGCCAGACAGAAGAATAATTTACCTCTTGATTTCCTCCCATGAATATATGCCTTTCCAAGAAGTTGCCATGTTGGCCTGTACAAATCTTCCAAATCCAGTTGCCACCGATCTGGTTCAAGGTACCGGATAAGTTCTTCCACAGTACTAAATCCAGCAACGGCATTGTTTAATACATCTAACGGTAAAGCTGATGGGGGCAGCAATGATGGGCTAGGTGCTTCTGTGTGGTGCTGCAATCAAAGCCAAGAGAAGAGTACCAGTCAGAGGGTTAATGGATCTGCTTTGATGAAGTGCTGTACTTTACGAAGTAACATCGCTGGGAAAGTTTATAAGTGGCTAGCTTGTTTCCAATGTACAGTTTACCTAATAAGACAAATGACAAGAGTCAAAAAGTACCCAATTATTCTTCAATGATAAGTGTAAACAAACTTCCACTAGACAGTCTTCCCACTTCTTACATTTCTAGCCTTGAAGACAGCATGCCACTATACCTGTTCTTTGAAGAACTTCACTGAGTGACAGACAAGATTTTAGAAATAGAACAGAGAGTGATTTGAAAATATGGCCCCATTACAAGCAACTACTGTAACCCTTTAGAAATCTGAGGAAACACATTTCACATGCTGCCTTTCCAATGAAACTTAGCCAAAATCTTTGTCTTCTTGTCTTTCAATGTAAAATAGGAACATACCCTAGTACAAAGATAGCAAATATTCCCACTCTCATCTATAGATGAAAAAAAGCATCAGTTGTGTTTCATACAGCACTAAGAATTATGTTTCTGGTTAAACAATAATTAATAGAGTAATAACAACATCTGGCATTACTGCAATTATTTATCCCTTAAGAAGAAAAAAAAGTTCCCAAGGATATGAAAAGTACTTAAATGCTGAAACTGAGTACTGAAAAAGTCTCTGTACTTTCCCACAGCACAAATCTCACTGACAAACTCACTGGATTAGGGGTACTCAGTGACAGGCAATTCAAGCAAAGCGAGACTTCTGGGTTTGCTCACTCTACTGTCATTTAAAAATTATGCATCGATTCATATTTTCAGAAGAATTAAAAAAGGCGGGAAGGGAAGCCCAAGCAGGAAGCTGCTGCTGCACCACCATAACCTTCTTTAGGCTTTTATACAGGCAGACATCACTACAGCCATTATGTCCACAATACCACACTAAAGCAATTTATCTGGACCATGTAAGAAGGACGAAGGAAGATATTAATATACTGCTGATTTAGGTTCGGGAAGGACAAAATATCTCAAACTTAAATGCACAATGCTCTCAAGTGTGGTCCATATAAGATTTAGGGAAAATTTATTCACTCTAAGTACAGTCAGGTTTTTGAAAAGGTTGCCCAGAAAGGCTGCACAGCTTTTAATACCTGACTGGATAAAGCCCTGAGCAATGAATTCTGACCTCTGAACTGACCCTACCCTGTGCAGGAGGTTAACTAGAGAACTCCTGAGGTCCCTTGCTCAATATTCCTACAACAATCCTACAATATAATATTCAGAATGAAGGACTGAAAGTTCTTCCAATAAGTGAACTAACCTGCTTCTTGCCCCTTCCCTGTGCAGTGCCTGTTAGTACGGCACAACATTTATATATATATTTTTATA